GGCCACAGGAGCCAATAAATCTATCCGTGTTTACTCCTTTTCACATCTTGGTTTTGCCTTCTCCTGCCTTTTGAGTCCCACTGTTCCCTGTGAGGTAGGAAGGCCTACTGAAGGAAACTTCATTCAAAGGCCTGAGCAGGAATGTTCCCTAAGGATTTTTTTTTTTTTTTTTCTTTTTGAGATGGAGTCTCACTCTGTTGCCCAGGCTGGAGAGCAATGGCACGATCTTGGCTCACTGCAACTTTCACCTCCTGACTTCAAGTAATTCTCCTGCCTCAGCCTCCTAAGTAGCTGGGATTACAGGAGCCCACCATCATGCCCAGCTAATTTTGTTTTTAGTAGAGACAGGGTTTCACCATGTTGGCCAGGCTGGTCTTGAACTCCTGACCTCAGGTGATCTGCCTGCCTCAGCCTCCCAAAATGCTGGGATTACAGGCGTGAGCTACTGTGCCCAGCCACTCTGAAGATTTTTAAAGCATCAGGCCAAAGAAAAGACAGGTAAAGGAGGTCAGTGGCTCACACCTGTAATCCTAGCACTCTGGGAGACCAAGGCAGGCAAATCGCTTGAGGCCTCCAGGAGTTGGAGACCAGGCTGGGCAACATACCATCTCTTCAAAAAATACAAAAATTAGCCAGGTGTGGTGGCATGCACCTGTAGTTCCACTACTCGGGTGGCTAAAGCAAAAGAATCACCTGAGCGTGGAGAGGTAGAGGCTTCAGTGAGCCGTGATCATGCCACTGCACTTCAGCCTGGGCAAGGGCGTGAGACCCTGCCTCAAAAAAAAGAAAGGAGGAAGAAAGAAGGAAGAAGGAGGGAAGAAAGAAGGAAGAAGGAGGGAAGAAGGGAAGGAAGGAAGGAGAGAAGGAAGGGAGGGAGGGAGGGAAAATGTATGGACAGAACTGGGGTGGAGGCCAGGTGTGGTGGCTCACACCTGTAATCCTAGCACTTTGGGAGGCCGAGGTGGGTGGATCACCTGAGGTCAGGAGTTCAAGTCCAGCCTGGCCATCATGGTGAAACCCTATCTTTAAAAAAAAAAAAAAAAAAAAAACTGGGGTGGAATGTAGGTAAGGAACTGAGCAGATTAAAGAATAAATCTGTCCCTCACATCATACCCAAAAGTGAATTCAAAATGGATGACAGACTTCAATGTAAGAGCTAAAACTATATATACTCCAGCACTATTCACAAGGGCTAAGATGTGGAAACAAATCCACCAACAGACGATAAAGAAAATGTGGCATATATATGTATATATATATATATATATATATATACACACATATCTATATATCAGAATACTATTCAGCCTTAATAAAAGAAAGAAATTCTGCAATATGTAACATGCACAAACCTTGAAAACATTACACTAAGTGAGATCAGCTAGTCGCAGAAAGACATATACTGCATGATTCTCCTTATATGAGGTATCAAAACAGTCAAATTCATAGAAACAAAGAGTGGAATGGTGGTTACCAGGGTCTGGGGATGGGGAAATGGGGAATTAATCAGTAGGCATAGAGTTTCAGTCAAGTGAGATGAATACGCTCTAGAGATCTGAGGCCAGGCACAGTGGCACACGCCTGTAATCCCAGCACTTTGGGAGGCCCAGGTTGGGGGAGTGCTTGAAGCCAGGAGTTCAAAGCTGGCCTGGCCAACATGGCAAAACCCTGTGTCTACTAAAAATACAAAAATGAGCCTGGTGTGGTGGTGGGCACATGCAAACCCAGCTACTAGGGAGGCTGAGGCAGGAGAATCACTTGAACCCAGGAGGCAGAGGTTGCAGTGAACTGAGATCGCACCACTGCACTCCAGCCTAGGCCACAGATCTAGACTCTGTCTCAAGAAAAAAAAAAAAAGAAAGAAAATGTACAAATGGCCAATAAATACATGAAAGGATGCTAAACATCATTAGCTATCACAGAAATGCAAATCAAAATCACAAAGAGATACCATTTCACACCCAACAGAATGGCTTTAATAAAAAAGACAGTAACAAGTGTTGACAAGGATGTAGAGATACTGGAACTCATACATGCTGGTAGACAGGGAAAATGGTACAGCCACTTTAGAGAACAGTCTGGCAGTTTCTCAAATGGTTAAATACAGGGTTACCAACAACTGCTCCTGCTCCTCTGATCCCCATGGTAAGCCTCTACACGTACCTGTTTCCTAAAACAGCCAACAAGTATCAAGCCAGGTCTACCTCCCATGGTCTCCATGCTCCTCTCTGAGGCCATCTCTTCCCTAATTCCAAACCCTTGGAACTGTATTTCATCCACTAAAACACTGGTTTTCTCTCTTCACTAGTTCTTCCCTGACAGGTGCAAAGTCTTCTGATTTTTCTCCTTGTTTTCTGCACATTCTTCCTCCACAAAATCCATGGGATCTTGTCCATGATAGCAGCTCCTATGACAACACCAAGTTCAAAGTCCTCTCTTTTTCCACCTAGAAGTAAACCAATCACCTCATGAAAGGGTAACTAACTTTTGCTGTAGATAAAGACATATCCATCCTTCCTATGTGATACACCATTAACCATAGACTAGCATACCTAAATGCCTAAACAGGTGAGAAACTAAAGAAAAGGTGATATTGAAATCTCAGGTGAAAAAATGTTAGAAAGCAGGCTTTTTTTGAAGGAAGGGAATCTCCGAAAAAAGTGCAGCAGTCCACCAAGAGCAATGTGGTCCTGATCCCTTAGACAAATGCAGATTACACTCTTCTGGGCAGACGTCTCCAATTCCCAAATGGGGACACTGAAGTACTAGACCTTACTGCAGACTAGGATGAAGCAATAAAACTTAGGACTAGTCACCTCTGAAGCTTTGCCTGCCCAGGGCAGTGGTGGGAAGGTACCTGTTTATTATGTCCAGAAGCATGGATCTTACTTAAAGTCAATGCCTTTCCAACTAGCCCTTAAACTTTCAACTTAGTTAGCCAAGAAAAAAGGTGACCACTTTGTCCAATAGAGTACGACTCACAGATACCTATCCGTCAGCTATTGAGAAGCTTCATACCCACATCCGGACAGACTCATGCCTGCCTATTGGAACACCATGCATCATACACACTCCCAGGACCTGACATGCACAGGCATATAATCCAGAGCATACGTTCACCTCTCACCGGACTATACTTCCCATCTATCCTGAGACTTGGCTGAGAGAGAGGACAAACAACAGGAGGCAAAGAAAACAAGACCAGCCACTCAGACACCACTATTGGCTGATACAGCTCCATGGTGCTAGACAATGAGCTGCATCTCTTGCTGTGACCACAGGCAAGCTAATCCTCCACCAAAGGCCTCCTTCTCTTCATGTGTAAAATAAGGGACCCAAGGTTCCTCATTGCTGGCTGTAATACTCCTGACTCTCAGGCCTCTACCAGTTCTCTACAGACAGGCTGCTTTCAGTGAGAAAGAGAACTGGTAGAGAGAGGCCTGCTACAGTGAGGAGCAGGATGCAGAACAAAATCAAGGACTGACTTCCAGAAAGGGACATGGGGTTCATATTCTGATGACCTGGTTTCCCTGGAAATGTTGTCAGATGACCCGTGGGGCAGCAGGAAGCTCCAGTAACAAACTCTGCTGGACTGCCGGCCTGAAGCAGCTCCTAAAGGTCTGGGCATTAAACCAGTGGTACCCCCTATCCCAGCAGGACCCTCACTAACACCAGTGATGACCATGAAAACAGTAACCAGCCCAAGACCAAGAAACCAGAGACCTCAATTTACACGTGCACTTTTCTAAATGACAGGTCAAGATCTAAAACCCTAGCTCGGATTACGGTTCATCGATCTCCACCCAAAGGCACCTTCAGCTCCTCTGCCAAAGCAATGCAAAGTCTTGCTGGCCCTCTCTGTCATCGCTTGGTCTTGGGAGCAATTTCAAGTGCTCACAAGGGAAACTAAAGAATTGAAATCCAAGCTTGATCCTCCTCATTCCAAAATTCTAGTTAGTGAAATTGGTGTTTCAGGTCCTTTTACTTCCTCTGCTCATTCCTAGTGTGAGGACAGATAAACAAATGGTCAGAAGGCAAGGGGCAAGTGGCTGGAAGAGGAAAAAGAAAGACCGTAAACACACAGCACATAAACAGAGTCTTACAGCTCAAACACTGTCAGGATCTAACTTCCTGGCAGAGGCTGTTGAACAATCTCTAGTCACTCTAAGGACCCAGGGGACCTATCTCTCACATCTAGGAACATAACACTATGCATCATCACAACCTTCAGGCCATACAACAGATTAAGTCAACAATCTTTGAAATGATCACTTTCGAAAACTATGGGAAGACATATTATTTCTACTATGAATAGTCCCTCCTTATAATCAGGCATCCTATTCTCTCAAATGGTTAATAACCATTCTCTTCTCCCTAACCCAGAGACAGCCGGGTGAAGCGTCTAGTTCAAGGGAGCCTATGCTTCTCCAGTTGATACATCTTGTTCAAGAGGAAAAAAGGAAACCCAGGGTGGAGTTCTACATCCAAGGATAAGGAGGCCTGGAGGATGGGAAAATTTGAGAAGCCACACCAACCACACGATCAGAAAGAGAGGACTATTCGGGCAGGCCACTGCCACTTGCCCTGCCAACTGGACAGAGAGCTGGCAGCCGGCTATAAGGTACAAGGGGAAATACACATGCAACAAATAGGATGAGGGGAGAGGAGGAGAAGGAGCAGGGGTGAAAGCGACTCCACTGCACCCAGGCCTTGCCTCTGCGCTCCTGGGGCTGCCCCAAGCGAGCTCGCCACACGCAGGAAGCCAGAGGGGCTGGAGGGAAGGGGTCGTGGCGACAGCAGACCACAGACACTAGGCCTCGTGTGGCGTGCGGGGAGCGCACACGGGGCCGAAAGGCGTGCAAGGGTGGGGTGGGCGTGCAAGTGGCTTGGCGAGGGGTGGCAGGCGTCACCAGCACGGCCTGCGGAGCGAGGGCCCAGGGCTGCGGGGGGCGTGGGAGCGCGCGGGGCTGCGCTTGGAGGGGCGCGCGGGAGCTGGTTACCGTGTGGTTCACCCCCCACATCAGGACGCTGAGGATCGGCTCGCTGGCCCGGAATAGCTTCACTTTCTGGCACACGAAATGCTTCTTCTTGGTCTTGGTCTTGCTGGCGCTGAGCGGCGCCACCGCCACCGCCGTGGTGCTGGTGCAGTTGGACGACATGCCCGGGGCGGCGGCGGCGGCGGCGAAAGGGGGGGGCGACGGAGACAGCGCACAAGCCAGCGGCCCCAGGCCTCCCCCGGACCGATCCCCACCCCCGCTCCCTCACCGCGCCATGGTCGCGCCCGTCCCGTTACCTCCCCACCCCGCCCCGGTGGTTCCGTCCGCCCCACGCCCCGCCCTCCCGCCCCGCCCCGGGGAGCCGGCCGGCCCGCTCCGCGGCCTGCTCCGCACCCCGCTCCGCCCCTGGGCGTGCCACCGCCCAGCGGTCCCCAGGCCCCGTCCTCCCCGCCCGCGTGGTTCGGCCCGTCCCGGGGAGGCAGCGGTCGCCCCGCCCGCCCCTCCTCCCCGGGCCTGACAGGAACCCGCCTGGCTTCCGAACCGCGCCGGAGCGGGAAGAGGAGGAGGGTTGGGCAGGCGTCGCTGTGAACCGCGGGAGGGGCTCCCCACCCGGGCCCCGCAAAGCCAGGATTTGGCTCTTTCTCTCAACCCGAATGCCAAGATGGCGGCGGCGCCACAGCTCCGGAAGGGAAGGAGGGGCGGGAATGCGAGGAGGGCGGGTCGTACCATGCCCACCCCGGGGGAGAGGAAGTCCAGCCTGGAAAGCCAAGGAACGCCCCCTCGCTCCACCCAGGCGTGGATCTGCCCACTCCCCGGGGCTCCGGGCGCGCTCCACCCGCGGGGCACGCCCCCTCTCCCCCAGGGCCAATGAGAGGAACAGGCCGAGAACCTGGGTTTTATGAATGGGCCCCGCGCCCACCCACCTGCTGCCAGGTCTCCCGGCAAAGGGTCAGAGCTCAGAGGCTGCCAGCACCTTCAGTCACCTATCCCACTAGTCTTCTTACTCTCTGACTCCTTTCGTAAAATCTTTGAGTAAACTGCCCCACGCTTTGTTACATAATTCTCGGATGAGTGTTCTCCATATATTCGACACAAATCACAGGTCAACATTGTTCTTTCTGTGTGGGAATTCGTAAACACGGTACTCCGCAGGTGGTCTCTCTTTAAACAGTTACAAAAATAAACGTAGCCTTTATTACCAATTAATAAACATAACCCCGGCATAGGGAAGCATGATGAGGTGATTAAATGAATAAAAACTTATGTTACGTTCTCTAGGGAAAGATCGGGTTTCGAGCATTACAATGCCTGGCATCATAAGTGTTCAAAAATGGAAAACCAAATACATTTTAAGCAGAATTAGTAATGAGCAGAACAAGGAAAGTGCCCAGGTAGTGTGGGGGTCAAGAGGACCTAGGAGTTCACTGGTCAAATGAGGGCTTCTGGTGAAAGAACAGAGAAGGGAAAAGAAGTAAAGACAGGCAAGTGGCCCCTTGAGGGTTTGTTTTAGTACCTGACTGAAAAAGTCTAGCAAACCTCCTGAAAATCTATCATTGTAGTAAGATTACTACACGATACGAAACGAAGCCTTGAAATAACCTTCCATTTTATTTTCCTTTCGGAGCCATGGGGCATATTGGCAATTTGGTCCTGACTCCTAAAAGCATTTTACTATACCTTTACACTGCCTACATTGGAGACTACAAGCAGTGGAAAAGGATAGATGCTCTAGACCCTGTTGATAAACCCAGGCTCCTCCTAAACCAGCCGGACTCAGAGAGAAAAATGCTTAAAAATGCTTATTGTATTACTTGCCATCAAAGTTCAATGCGTTTTTTTTTTTTTTTTTTTTGAGACGGAGTCTTGCTCATTGCCAGGCTGAAGTGCAGTGGCTCGATCTCCACTCATCGCAGCCTGTGCCCCCCCGGGGTTCAAATGATTCTCCTGCCTCAGCCTCCCAAGTAGCTGGGACTACAGGTGAACGCCGCCATGCCCGGCTAATTTTTGTATTTTTAGTAAAGATGCGTTTTCACCATTTGGCCAGGATGGTCTCGATTTCCTGACCTTGTGATCCGCCCTCGTCGGCCTTCCAAAGTGCTGGGATTACAGGCGTGAGTCACCGTGCCCAGCCCAATGTGTTTCTATTACAGAGTAAAGTCATTTACCAAACAGGGTATTCTCACAAAGCTAACCTTTTTTAAAAGCATGTAGAAATTATACATTTGTACATATACACATTACACTTTTACATCCAAAGATCAAGTGGCTAACAGTTCATTCAGAGCTTTTTGTATTGTTTGATTTTCTAGATTCTGTCACTCCCTTGGCTTTTCCCTCACCTGACATCATTGTGCCACATTATCTTCTAAATCAAGTAAATGTTCATTTGTCTCTGTAAGCACAATCTATCTGGGTGACATGATACTGGTTTCTGAAAGGCCTGGTCTACACTGAGGCAGTGGAATAGGTCTGTTGGCACAGGTAAGAGGGAAGCGGCATGATCAACATCACAACCCCAGGGAACAGCCTTCCAGAGCAGAACAAGCACTTCCACCAAGATGGTCCAGTGCCCACCCGTTAAAAACAGTCAAAACCCAAAGTTACTGAGTGTCCCACAAAGCACATCACCCTGGCTCTCAAAGGAAGTGAGCTGTTTCAGGACTTGATGGAACAGGGTCACTTTGAACAGTGGTGGTTTGACATCTGTGAAAGAAGTCAGTTAAACTCTTATAAAGAGAATTAAGGGGTCAGTAGCTTCCCTGGAAAATGCAGGAAAACCAGTAAGAGAGGGGACAGTTTTCATCTTTTCATAAAGTTCTTCTCCAGAGCTACAGAAGTTCTCTGAATAGAGTAGATATTCCGCTTCACCCGGTCCTCCAGGGAGGAAGTAGATGCACTCTCCAGCTTCATGCGGCTAGGAAGAGAAGACAGGCAGATGGAGGTCAAAAACATTTTCAGTCAACTATTCCGGCAGCTTTGGAAGAAATGGGTTGTTAGCCACAGAGCAGCTGAAGATACACAACCTCTTTTAAGCCCCCATAGATAACTTTCGAGTGAATCCACCTGGAACCAAATGTTTTTAAGCCAGTGTCCATAAGAGAAAATGTATCTCTTTTGGAAAATAAATCAAAGCCTCATTGGAAAAAGGCTTCCTGGGCCATGAATTCTTATTTAAAAGGAAGGTCAAGGAATTTCAATGATTTAGAAGATACCAGTTCACTTCTCCTCCCCTCGAATGAAAAACACCCCACCGTGTGGTCAGAAACAGGGAGTAGTAAGTAGCAACGGTGGTCTGAAGGCTGTGCTCCATGGGCAGACACAGAAACACTGGTGAACCAGCTGCCAGCCTGTCATCTTAAGACCATCCCCGTGAAAGCTCCCGGCAGGAGGGAGAGACACTCACTGGATGAACTTCCCATCCCGGGAGTCCAGCTTCTCCAGCCTCTGCTCCCGTTCCTCATCCTTAGCGTGCCTCTTGAGGATGTTCAGTCTCTCCTCCTCCCGCCATTTGGCATTTTCCATCATCTCTTGCCGTTTTCGCTCTAATTCCTCTGCGGAGAGTTTTCTGTTGAGCACAGAAACCATCTGATCAGGTCTCTCCCAGCAAAAAAAAAAACCAGAAGCAGGACAAGAAGCACAGAAGCCAGGTAGGACCCCAAACTCTCCAGTTCACTGCTCTCTCTAAGTGTAAGGCCAGCCTGGGTTCCCTTCTAACGTCCTGGTCAGGTGGTTTCCTCCAAATTTCAAAAGCTTTTAGTAAAGAATTCCATAATCTCACTCATTAATATCTAGAGTGATTATTCTGAAATATGAATAAGCTGGGAACTCACTGGGAAACTAAACCTGTAGTAATTGTACCCCAATGGTTTCCTCAACAAGTTACAGAACAGAGGACTAGGTTATCCATGTAACTGTTAACATCTACCATCTAACTACCCATTGGAGACTAGAAATTCATGACACAGCCCATAAATACACTTATTTAGGACTAAGCTAGAAGCCAGAAGCTGAGGAATAACTTAGCCTCAGAAAATAATAAGTCTGCACAGTGGCACATGCCTGTAATCCCAGCACTTTGAGAGGCCGAGGCGGGTGGATCACCTGAGGTCAGTGGTTCAAGACCAGCCTGACCAACATGGTAAAACCCTGTCTCTACTAAAAATACAAAAATTAGCCAGGCGTGGTGGTAGGTGCCTATAATCCCAGCTACTCAAGAGGCTGAGGCAGGAGAATCACTCGAACCTGGGAGGCAGAGGTTGCAGTGAGCCAAGATCACGCCATTGCACTACAGCCTGGGTGACAGAGCAAGACTTCATCTCAAAAACAAATAAATAAATAAGAAATAATAAATAGGGCCAGGCATGCTGGCTCACGCCTATAGTCCCACCCAGCACTTTGGGAGGCTGAGGTGGGTGGATCATTTGAGGTCAGGAGTTCTGGACCAGCCTGGCCAACATGGTGAAACCCTGTCTCTACTAAAAATGTAAAAATTAGCACCTGGAATCCCAGCTACTCAGGAGGCTGAGGCAAGAGAATTGCTTGAACCTGGGAGGTTGAGGTTGCAGTGAGCCAAGATTGTGCCACTGCACTCCCGCCTGGGAAACAGAGCGAGACTCCATCTCAAAAAAAAAAGAAAAAGAAAGAAAATGATAAATAGGTAGATGTTCTTCCCTAACACTCACTGCAAATGAAATTAGAGCAAAAAAAAGGAGGTGGCTGGGCACGGTGGCTCACATCTGTAATCCCAGCACTTTGGGAGGCTGAGGCGCGTGGATCATTTGACTCCAGGAGTTCGAAACCATCCTGGCCAACATGGTGAAACCCCTGTCTCTACTAAAATACAAAAATTAGCTGGGCGTGGTGGCAGGCACCTATAATCCCAGTTACTTGGAAGGCTGAAGCAGGAGAATCACTTGAACCCAGGAGGTAGAGGTTGCAGTGAGCCGAGATCATGCCACTGTACTCCAGCCTAGGCAATAGAGTTAGACTTCATCTCAAAAAAAAAAAAAAAAAAGGAAAAGAAAAGGAGGTGATGAACCAATTAGTCACTGTCTAACAATGACAGACATCCAAATCCACTGATACCCAAATGGATGTGATATGCAGGTCCCCCTTTAAGAGGAAAAATAATTCCTGAAGTCCAGTAAGAGAACAAGAGCCCATTTTGAGAAACAAAACTAAAATATTAAAACCTGCTATGTAGTTTACAGGGAAATGACTGCAATTCCTAAAAAAAAAAAAAAAAAAAAAAAAAACTCCACTAAATAAAACGTAAACCCAGGTACAGTGGCTCACATCTGTAATCCTAATACTGTGAGAGGCCTAGACAGGCAGATTGCTTGAGCCTAGGAGTTCAAGACCAGCCTGGGCAACATGACAAAACCCCATTTCTATACAAAATACAAAAAAATTAGCCTGGTGTGGTGGTGCACACCTGTAGTTCCAGCTACTCAGGATGCTGAGGTGGGAGAATCATCTGAGGTGGGAAGTTGAGGCTGCAGTGAGCCCTGATCATGCTACACACTCTAGCCTGGGCAACAGAGTGAGACCCTGTCTCAAAAATAAACAGAGAGAATGCAAGAGGAGATATCATGAATAAGAGATGTGAACAAACTGCTGGAAGATGAAAGTGGACAAAGGAGTGGTGACTACTTCAACAGATTAGAAGAAACTGAACCCAGAGTGCCCTAAACTGATGAGAAG